AGAAGAAGAAGAAGAAGAAGAAGAAGAAGAAGAAGAAGAAGGAGAAGAAGAGGACGAAGACGAAGAAGAGGATGAGGAGGAGAATGATGATAGCAATGATGAAGATGAATGTAATGTTAGTGGCGCCTTCAAGGAGATAGAAATAAAGGGAAAGCACATACATTCTGAAATAGGCATGTATTCACATAACCTCCACATGCAGCACAATCACCCTAATCATCAACACCAAAATCCTGATCACCACCATTACCAGCAGCCTGAACAGATTAATCCTGCAGTTATTCAATATCACATTCCTTTGGATCAAGTGAGCCAGTCTCTACACGACCGGAATCAAGAATTCTGTTTGCCGACGCTTCGGAATGGGTCTAGTCTATCCTTAGTGGAGTCCACCTCAGGGCACCTGACCAGGTTGAGAATACCCCAGACACAGAAGGATATGGTTTCCGGACAGATGACATCAATTGATGAACATAATGACTGGAGGAGTGGGATGATCGAGGAGATAAGGCAGTCTAATGTGCCCTGTCATGAGAGCATGGCCAATACAAATGAATCGGGCCATTTGAGTGGCTCTTTCGCATCCATTTTATCAGTAGGACATAGTAACCGGGAGCTGAGCACGAAAGGCAAAGTGACAGACAACGAGGCGCAAGAGGATCAGGGAGACGAAGATGAAGATGAAGATGAATATGAGGATGAGGACAAAAGTGAAGAGGAAGATGATGAGGAGAGTGCCGATTTAAGTGAAGATGATGACATGAATGCTTCATACCAGACCTTTGAACGACTGGGTGTAAAGACTAAACACGGCAAAGCAAATAATGCAATTGGAGACAGGCTCGGCCTCAGCCCTTACCGATCCTCTATCGGTGCAATCAAACTGGATGACTTCAGTCATCCAACCACACATGCTGAGCGTCACGGAGCTAGATCCAGAGCCACCAAACGCCCTTGTACCAGGGTTCAGAGACGCTCTTCGGCGTTTGTGGGGATCAGTGAACAGGCTAGTCAAGTAGAGGGCAAGCGGCGGCGATGGGTCAGAAGCCTAGAGCTGAATAACACCAGCAGGGATCAAATCAGTCAAGGTGAGAGTCTAAATTTATACACCTCAAGAGATATTCTCTAAGGTGGCCATCGATATAGCAATCAGGCTGCCGTGAGAACAATTACACGGAAATTCTTAAGTTCTTTCGATAGGAGAGTTCATCTGAGACTAGAAGCAAACTAAGCATTGCGATGGGTCATACAAACAATTTAAACACCATCAAAACCTAAAGGCAGATCAGAAAAAATAGTAAGTCACTCCGAATTATAGGTATGTAGTAAGACCAAGATTACATCTCACTTAGTCACCGCCTCCCTTCGCAGCATAGAATTGGTCTGACCTCGTTTCGCAACTTGATCCTGATGCCAGAGAGACCTAAAAATATTAATGTCTACTATGGCAGAAAATAGAGTGCAGGATACTTTCTCCGAGGTCGCATTTGGCACAATGGCCAACGTATGAAATCGCAGTAAATTATTTTTATTTTACCTCCCTCTTCAAGTACACAAAATAATGCCTGTTTAACGCGAAGACAGTTTCCAGCTCCAGTTCATGGTATCTTATGAGGAATACTGGTTCATGATACCGCTGGACCCATGGGCTCTTGTTTGATAGCATGGCTTGATCATTCAGAATATGAGAATTGGGCTATTTATGATACGAGATGTATTA